TAACTTGTTTTGCTAGATCTGTTCTCACATGTACATGACCAAATTTCTCTACTGTTCAGTAGGGAAAATGAAGCAGTGGATATAATTGCGTAATGACAGATATGAGAGGAACAGAGAATCCCAGCAATCATTTCCTGTGAGTTGGCCAGCTTCCAGGATGTCTCAATGGGCCCGCTGATGTAAAGGCAAAATGAAAATAGCTCATTCTGAAGGGTAGTTGTTGGTCGGGATTTTTTTTCCCTCTCTCATTTGACTTTGCAGACTAAGGTATTGGAACAATTAGTTGGCAGTGTGGTGTTAGTTTTCTCACGGTAAATTAAGCAGATTATCCAAATGTGGAAATGTATTTTAGCTACAATCAGCAGATTTGAAACTGTAATACTTCAGTATCCTCTGAGGTTATGTTAATATTATTCACGTTATTCCTCTCTATAATGTGCAGACTTTTCCAGAGTTACCTTATGTCAGTGTTTATTCAAAGACAGCAGAATTATTAGGTTTATTTTTGTTAGTTTTGTAACACAGAAATATAGAGGATCAGCATGCTAACTGTTGCGTCACTCCACTTGGCATGTAGTATTGGCACGGATAAGAGAACCATTATAACAGCCTTAATCTCTTTTTTTATTATTATTGTTATTAACTTTCCTACAGTAAGTTGAGTAGTGAAGCGTATTTTACATAATTATGGCAGAAGTACACAACTTGACGGGTGGTAGTGAAGGAGCAAAGTAATATAAATATTTGCAGAACATTTCTGCCATAAGTTAATGCTTTGCATATGAATCTTTATAAAGATCCTAAGTTAGTTTAAAGGAATGATTCCAGAGGACTACATAGGTCCAGGCATTTTAAGAGCTGTGAATGATGACTGTGGAGCATCTCTGGGAGTTTTTGGCTTGTCATACAAAAACAGAAAAGAGAAGGAGCAAAACTCGGCAGGAAGAAGTTAACAAATGCTTTGGGAATGGAGACGGGAGAAGACATATGCTTTCCATGTACAAATCTTAGGCTAGACTCACCTAGTCATTCATTTTTGGTTGCTGTTTGTCTTTGGCTTGCTGCATTTCACTGGAGACACTCACTTAGCAAATGGTTGCAACAGCTTTAAGTTGCTCCTGCAAGCACATATCTGCTGCTGCTTTGAGCCCCAAAGCAGAGCTGATAGAAGGGAATGGAGAAACAAATCTCAGCTATTCCATGCAACATCTGTTGGTTTAATTGAGCTGCTGCAGGAGATTCAATCTAAGCTACCAGCTGTGGCACAGAAGGGTCTGAGGGACATAAACACATGGATCCATGCAAGCCAGCTGTGTGAAAGAGCAAAAAAGGACAGTACCATGGGCAGTAACTTCTTAAGCTACTATTGGTAGATTTGCCAGGTTACACATGCTGACAATCCCATTTTCCCTCAAAATATTATTTCTAAACAATACCAAGTGCATTTGCTTTCCAGGGATTGATCTGAAAGTGCAGAGCTGCATCTCAGCCTGTCTGGCTGAAATACAAATCTTTAGTACAAACATGTTATCACTTGTAGTTCCTCCTGAAGCTTTCAAACTGGATACATTAAAGCTGCAAGGTCAACACGTTTAGGAGCAAAACACAGCTAGCTGCATAGGCTTTATATGTAAGCCACAGGATATTTTGCTCCTTATTTGCCAATTCAGCCTATTTTAACAGAATCCCACAATTTTAATTTTCTGCTTTGGGCTTGACTGCTAAACTGATCCTGTCATAATAAAATACATCTGCATAAATAACAGTGTTTCTACAGGGACTCTCAGTATTTGTTTCAGATCTCACTTTGCCAGAGAATTAGAGGGAGAATTTTAGTACTGTATTTCCTATGAAAATTTTACAAAAATGTCATATACATTTGTGAAAGTTTGAAATGGTGAGTGAGCCTGTGAACATACTTTTTTTTTTTTTCTGAATGACCATTTAGCTATAAGTCAGCTCCCCTCGCAGAAGCTTTTCTGAGTAGTACTTGAGGATTTTAGAGTCTATGTGTATATATACACCTTTGTGAAAATGTTCTGGTTTGAAGGGCATGCTTTATTTTTTGGGCAGTGTTTTGCCATATCCCTGATCATGGTGCATATTGAGCTAACTGCTGTTTTAAGTTGTTGACTGTGCGTGTTCTTGCTTATATCTAATCAGAGGACTGAGCAGTGTCTCACAGGTAGCTCACAAATGGAATGTTCCACACAAACCAAGCAGGTGAAAACAAATACAGGGGGTTCTGGTGGAAGAATGGACCACATCAATTAATGATGGGTGGGTAATTGGCTTCTTTGAAGAATTGCTCCTAAATAACTTCCCTGCTAAAAGAGCAATTGCTAAATGAATGTTTTTCCTTACCATGTTCAGGGGTGGAAAAATGCAGCCATCACTCATTAGCCCAAAGTCCAAGTCAGCTAGACAGTGTGAAAAAATACCTGGCACTCAAAGCTCACATTTAGCCCCAAAGCCGTGCCCTGCCACTCAAAAGGAACAAAACAGTCGTGCACTGTTTGTGACCTCCCTTTAGCTGTAACATAGTGTCAATCACATTGGGCTTTAATCCTTTCCAAATTATAACATGTATCTCTTGTGCTTTGTTCCTTTCCTGCCTTTTTTTCTTCTTTTATTCCTGACAAAAGAGAACACTATCTCTCTCTTATTATAGTCAGTATTTTGTCTGAAATTTGCGGTGCTTGTGACATTTTCTTCCTTTATCTTGCTTTCTTGTCACTGTTTCTGTACCTTTGCCCTACCAGTTTTTAGTCTCGGATTTATTTCCTGGGCTTTTCTCTCCAAAATAATTGTTTGTTTTGCTGCCACAATTTCTATTTCTAACGTATCACTACAGTTCTCACTTTCTGCCTACTAAGCAGGTGGTTAGGCAGAAGGGGAGAATGTCATGATCCAAGGCTTGTGATGGTCCCAAGATCTTGCACTGTGACTTAAAGCTCCAAGTCCCCAGGTTCTCTCTAACTGTGGTATCTAAGATGTAGTGATCTCATTCTTCCTGCCTCTATCTTTTCCCTGAGAGAGTTGAAATTGGAAATTTTTTGAGTTATTCCTTCTTCCATCTGCTCCTTTGAGAAGATGAGCTTCTAGTGCTTCCTTCAGTTTTGTGGGTAAAAAAAAAAAAAAAAAAAAAAAAAAGTTTCTTTTTCACAGATTTCTATTTTGAGTCCTCTTCTCCAGCAGCTTGTTGCAGTTGTCATGCATAGTTTCTAAGCTGGAGAAGGAGAAATCACTGAGCAGTAGAAGAGTAACTAAAGTGGGACACTAATGAATTCAGGAGGGTGTTGCTTCTTTAGCTTACACTCAGCTCATATTTGAATTGTTGATGTGGTATGCATTTGGATGGGCATTTGCTCTAGGTTTTAAACGAAAAACAGTTTTAAAATTATGTGAATTTGATAACTTGCTGAAGAAGCTTCTGGCTCTTTTTTCTGCCAAGTTGATTTTCAAAGCCTGGCAGCATATGCTCACACTTGCATTTTCAGCTGTGTCTGTACATCTAATGCATTTGGTCTGCCTAAGGAGGAAATTCACTGTACGCTGGTTAAATATGAGCAAATGTAGTATTGTCTCTGCTGTGCTGGTTATCACTCCCACCTCTCCCTTTAGCACAAGCTACCTATACATAAGATACAGAAGAGTAGGCATTGCAGTAAGAATATGTTGTACAAGTGCAAAAGATCACACCTTGTTCTTCAAAACATTTCAAGTTTCTGAGGCATTTTTGTAAACCAATGTTTTTAAAAATCTAGAATCCACAGCCACCATGTGAGGCCACATAGGCTTCTTCAGCTTTTTGCTTATCTGAGGTTGTTGACCTCAGGAGAGGAGGAGAAGGTTACAGGGTCAAAGTCTTTTCCTCCTTGGAGCTTGCTGCTTGCTGGGAGAGGGTTGGCTGGAAAATAGATGTTTTAGAAAAAGGGTTGAGGGTCATGATTTTAATTCTGTTAGGGAACAGCTGGTTTGAGTTTCTTTCCACTTCTATCTTCCCTCCCTTCCTCACAAATCCATGGAGAGAGAAAAATTTGTTCAGAGTAAAGCAACACAAAAATAAAGGATTGCAGTATTTTCATCTTTAAAATAGATCATATTTATTATAGGGCTTCACATTAGGAGAGAGAATAGGAAATTATTAAAATAATTGAAATCCATTATTGTTACAAGCATTGAATTGATATTGATCTAGAGTGTCAGAGGTTTATTTGTTTTCCTGCCCACGGTTAAAATGTTAATAGTAATGTTTTAATGGATTTTTTTTTTGTGGATAAACAATATACATTGCAATTTTTAACTTAGTGATGGACAAAGCTAATTTTTAATACATTGTGTTAGTTTGCAGACAAGAAGCTGAAGAAAAACGGTTTGATTTGGGTATTTCTGTTCAGATTTTCTTCATCTTTGCATGCTGCTTTCATGCACTAAGACCAAAGAGAGAGAAGGAAACTCACAACTCTCAAATGAATGGCAAACTAGGAACAGATTTTTCATCTGCACTCCTCTGAAACACTGGCCTCAGGCTGTGTTGGTGTGTGGCTCAACAGCAATCAGAGGTCATAATTTCATTGGCGGTTAGCATCAGGTTTAATTTTTCTAATATGTTACATTTACCAAAATGTCTGGTTTCAGTTACACTTATGCACTGACTGAATCAGCTTTGAGCAGCATTATGTTTTAAAGTACCTGAAAGGCTACAAGAACATTTATGGAACACATATGCTAATTGTTTTTAACCACTTTCCTTTCTAAACACAAAAATGTGTTTTTGGAAAGCCATTTAACAGTAGTAGCTAATGACGGTGTGTATTTATTCTAAGAAATGAGCACAAGGAATAAGTAAAATAGTTGTTTTAACAAGACTGCCATCTACTGATTTCCACAATTAAAAATATCCCTGATGACTAGATTGGTCATAGATTTTTTTTTAGTAGCTTTGTTTTCAAGATTTGCAAAATCAAGAAAATTATAAAATCTCTCTGTCACCTTAGGAATGCGACCAGGTTCACATTGACGACGTGTCTTCGGATGACAACGGTCAAGATTTAAGGTACAAGAGAACTCATTAAGATAAAAAGCTGCTTCGCAAATTCCTTCCTGGGCAAGGGATGGGCTGCTGGAATGCTCACATTAACCTGCTCTCTTTTAACTGTCTTCTTTTCAACCCAGCCAAGTGGGTAGCGGGTGGTTCCATGTAGCCTGTTGCCTTTCATTAATCTGTGGGGTTTTTTATCTCTGCCTAGCACGTATAACTTTGGAACAGACGGCTTTCCCGCGGCTGCCACCAGCGCCAATCTGTGCCTGGCGACCGGCGTGCGCGGAGGGGTGGACTGGATGCGGAAACTGGCCTTCCGCTACAGACGAGTAAAAGAAATATACAACACCTACAAAAATAACGTTGGAGGCAAGTGACTCTGGAGTGTCTGACAAACACGGATTAGAGGTCGGAAATGGGAAGAGCTGGTTTCTACTCCTCTCTAGGAGTGTTTAGTGTGCTGCTTAGTTTGCATTGTGCAGAAAATTGTCTGAGCTGGTGAAAGCAAAGGAAAATGACAGAGCACTACTTAGTACCAGTGCAGACATGCCCTTGTCTACTCCACAGGTCTGCTTGGTCCAGCAAAAAGAGAGGCTTGGTTACAGCTGAGAGCAGAAATTGAAGCTTTGACAGATTCTTGGTTAACACTTGCACTGAAAGCACTCACCCTCATACATTCGAGGTGAGTATTAAGAGTAGGAAGGAAGCTCTAGCATGTCTGATGATGATCTGGAAGAGGCTGTCTGGTGTGGTGGGCAAAATGCTGAAGCTGGAGGACCTTGTCCTCACTTCTTACTCTGATCTGTCTGTGCTGCACCTTGTTCCTAGATACGGTAGTAAAAAAAAATATGTTCTTTTTAAGTGGTAATAATAATGTTGAAGGGTTCCTATGGGAGGGCTAAGGTTTTCCTTCTATTTTTTTTTATATTTTATTTTTTCCTGTTTTGTTAAAAAAGGATATTTGCATTTTCTCTTCCATAGGACAAACTGTGTGAACATTCTCGTAACAACTACTCAACTAATTCCAGCTCTGGCAAAAGTCTTGTTGTATGGACTAGGGGTTGTATTTCCCATAGAGAATATTTACAGTGCAACTAAAATAGGTGAGCTATTTTCATCATGTTGTGATACATTTAAAGCTGTATTTCTAAAATGAAAAGGTATTGTAGTCTGACTATATTTAATTCTAACTTGCTTTCACTGTAGCAAATACAGAGATTAGTAACACCCGATCCTCATGAAACATTGCTAAAGCATCCTAAAAGTGCTTTTTGAATGTGTGATGATCCAGCACAGAAAGCTTTTTGTAGCTCTGTTAACAGTGGTACAGCCTCTGTTGGGAATAAATGTTAAAAAAAATTGCTTTTTTTTCATCATTTCTCAAAACTGTGGGGCTATGTAGCAGTTGAGAAGGATTTTTAATAGGCAGTAAGTAAAGAACACTGAAGTATCCCAGGAGTAGCAGTAGGAAAAATTCTGTAAAGGTAAGCCCTGGCTTATTTGTTTTCATGGACTCTGGAGAAAATTTTGGTAAACAATTTACCTGAAGCAAGAGTGTTTTGCTGCAGAATGTAATTATTTAAGTTTTTTCATACTGACTGTAATAAGCTTCAGCCAGGCAAATGTTTATTTCTGTTTTCTGGTTCAGTATAAAAGATGTTATTTTGAGTATGTAGAAGTACCCCAGAGCAGATGGCAATGGTGTTGGTAGTTTTTAATGTGATTATGACATATCTGTTCTGTCTCAGATTCCCCCATAATATGGGCTACAAGAACACATTTTTCATGCGTTCTGAAGTATCTATAATGCAGCAAGCTCAAATGGTGGGATATTTTTTGATTTTTTTTTTTAAACAAGACAAAACAAAAATTGAAATTCGTTCACAGTTTTACAGAGAAATTTGAAAGCATTCCCATAAAAATATTTAATGTTTTCCTAAATATAAAAGTTATAGTGCCCTCTATCAAAACTTTATAGTAAATTATAGCTTTGAAATATAGTGCTATAAAGACACATTTTAATTAAAACATATTTTAACAAATTTTCACTTGTGACTTCACATACATGGGATAGAAGGGTGGTTTTGGAAAAAATGTGCTCTGTCACTGACTGTCACAGGAAACTATGAGATTTTTTTAACTTGACATGATTTGTAATATTCAAACACCATTCCAACTTAGTGTTGGAGGTTTCTTATCCCTGATGCTACTCTTAAATGGTACCATTAAGTAGTTTGGCTTCTATAATGGCTAGAAAACTTCATTTAATTTCCAACCTACATTTTCTTATGCTTTTATTTTTCTTTAGCTGAAATAACTATTTTATAAACCACAACTTGTCCCATCCACTTCTGTAGACACTCAGGTTAGCATGTCCCATGGCCAGACTAAAGTGACCTTTCATAATGGGGACATTTGGGAAAACTCAACTTCAGACTTTTTGCTTTCTTTTTTCTTCTCAGTACCATACCTGAAACCTCCCAGTATGGGTACAAATTGAAAGAGAGGAAATTTAGGTTAGCTCTTAGGAAGAAATTCTTTACTGTAAGGGTGGTGAGCCACTGAAACAGGTTGCCCAGGGAGGTTGTGCCACAACCCTGGCAGTGTTCAAGACCAGGTTGGGTAAGGCCTTGGATAACCTGGATAACCTTGGATAACCTTGGATAACCTTAAATAAGCTATTATAGTGTGAGTGTCCCTGCATATGCCAGGGTGAGTTGGTACTAGATGATTTTAAGGTCCCTTCCAACCCTTAACATTTCTTTGTTTTTTTGGTACTTGTGCATAGGGCTGGAGCACTGAGATCATTTCCCTAGGTGTGTGCAGGGAAGGAATGACCTATATGAATGGATCCCAGTGCAGGATCAAGGGCATGGCCCATGTATTGCATTCATTACAGACATTTAAATCTTAATCTTTTGGGTGACCTTCTAAGTCAGGGAACTACTGTTTTAGGAGCTGTGATTAATCATGTCACAAGTTTTGGATAAAAAGCTAGAATTTCAACTCAGCTTCAATCAATTTACTAAAATCAGGGTGCTGGTAATAAACAAATGGTAGATAATTCTTCTGGTGGTGAAACTCCCCACAAAACCTGTGTCATATTAGGGAATGAAACAAGAAAGGTCATATTGTGGACCTCTAGTATGCTGTCTTTGCTGCAATCAGCCTTGATAGACTGTCCTGAGGGACACACTCTTCTCATCTTTGTAGCTCTACTTAAGAATTCCAAGGGTTGGGGAGATCCAGCTAAAAAGTTATTTATTTTATGACATCCCATCACCACCTATCTTGAATAGTCTGATTTTTTTCTTTCAGGAAAGGAAAGTTGTTTTGAGCGAATAATTCAAAGATTTGGAAGAAAAGTAGTGTATGTTGTTATAGGAGACGGTGTCGAAGAAGAACAAGGCGCAAAAAAGGTAATGACCTTCTTTTGGTGAGGGTTGGTTTCAAGAGTCTGGAAAATTGTCTTTTCTTCAGAATGGGACAGCATGCACTGACATTTAGGCTGGATATCTTTGCCTTATAAAATCTGTGTTGACTATATCTAGTAGAAAGCCAGGTAAGACTACAGATAATGATTTGCCCTGCTGCTCTCCAAAAGACACATTAAACTATGTATGTTTGATGCATTTCAAAAAGGGGCCAGAAAATGGGCCCTGGCTTTTGTGCCAAGAACTAACAGTTCTGTTTTCCTTGGCAACCCAAAATACCACATAGGATATTATGAATGTAAGCAAAATATGGTGATTCTTAGTGATCAAAGGCAGTGTGCCGTTTGACTGTATGAAACATATATATGTCACACCTTAAAAAGACATGTAGGACCGGAGTAGGTATACAGGAATTTCCGTTTTCTTGTGTGTCCATAATTTGAATTCTTTGTTCCGACAACAACCTGTGGCTTGGCATGCATTCATAATCTCAGATAACTGAGCAGAGGATATTATTTGACTGTCTATTATTTTTTTGCTTTTCACTGAGAAGAAGGGAAAAAATAACTTTTTTTTTTTTCAATGTGAATTAAGCTGTATAAAAAGCAACACTTCCCATTCATAAATAATGGGCTTTATTTGTAGTCTTGCTAGAAAAACTACCCAAGGTAGTCTGCAGATACACACTCTTTGCTTAGAGGAATGAGGCATAACCTTGGCTATTTGAATAATAGGAGAAAGAGCAGGAAAATGGGCATTTTTGTTCTTCCTTCCTTTCACAGATAAATTGCTTTTACACAGCTGCTTTTTCACCACAAAACTCTCTGTGATACTTCTATCTCTTTCCACTGTGACTTTCTAAATTGGAGAAGTGAAACTAATTAGTCCACATGGCATTTTAACAACCATTGACTGGTTTTGCTTCATGAAATCTGGGTTTTGTGCCCCTGAAGCCTTGCGGGTAGGTTCCCGGCTCGTCCCAGCACTTTGCAGAGTCTCAGTTTCATATATCCCTTTGGCGGGCTGACGGGAACAGTTTGCTCCTTTCTCCTTCAGAAATGCCTTTCATCTTTGCAGAGAAATGTTTTCCCGCTGCAAATGATTACATTTTAAAAGCTGTATTTAAGATCAGGGGGGGAAAAAAAATTCCTTCTCTTTGTTCCTTTTCTGTTTCTCGGTGAAATAGTGTTGTATATGATAATGGCAGGAGTAGTCCTTTTGGTAACATTATCTATTCCACTGCTTTTTTCAACAGGAAACATGATTCAGAAAAGCATAAGAGAAAGCCTTTCCAGTCGCTAAGAGGAGTAGCAGTATAGAAAGTTCCTTTGTGCAATTACTTGTGTGTATTCTTTCCTAGTGGAAGGAATTTTCAGGTTGAAAGCATGTTAGATGCTCTGGATTAAATTATCTGCTGCAGCAATGCCAGAGAAGTCAATAAGTAGACCAGCAGCCCTGCCTTTCTGCATAAACTATCAATCTGATTTAGGAAAATGCTTCTGTGATTCTTGTCCTGCTTCTTACTCCACCAAATAAGAAATCACCATTTCCCTCTATGAATGCAGGATTTCCTTTTTAGTTTTTTCCTTCACATCCTGCAAGAGTCTTCTCTGGAGAGCACACAAACAAAACAGAAACTTTGCCTCCCCAAAACTACCCAAAGCATCTCAACCCAGAGTGGCATAACTGTCCCGTGACATTGTCATGCTTACCCCTGAATTTTGGTAGCTGGTTCCTTCTCGCCGTGCTTCCCATCAGCATGTCAGGTTTTGTGGTATTCTTCAGAGAAGGAACAGGTCTTCTGTCCCCCCTTTGCACAGCAGTTTTCTGTAGGGCTTTGGCCTGTGGTGAAGCCATCAGTATATGTGAGCATAAACAGTGCAACTATTTAGAGCATAAACAGTACAGCCTTCTTTAGATGGCCCTTCATTGTCTAGATGTAAACTGTAATGAGTCTTTTCAAGTGTGCATATAAATTCAAGCCTATTTAATTAGTGATTTTTTTTTTTTATTCCCTGTTCATTCAGTGGATTAAGAAAAGGTTTACCTTACAGCTTAGGAGGTGAGAAAGTTAAGGTTTATTATTGAAAAAAAATTACCAATAATTTATAAATTGCTTCATCATAAAACAAGATTTTCATATAGGTCCTTCATTCATGGACAATATTGAGTCAATATAGCAGTAGGAAAGTAAAAGAAACATTTAAAATATTTTTATTAATGTCATTAGTATAAAAATTCAATGATAGAAACTTTTAATGCCACTTAAAATATCATTGTTTTGTTGAGAAACACTTTTAGGATAAACAGTTTGTTCATAAAATGCCTCTTTTGGGTGATGTAAGTAAACGTAATACACTGAGGAAAATGCACGCTGTTACATTTCTGGTAACATTAGTCGAACTATGATATTGACACCTTTGTTTAGCTGCCACTTCCAGCAAAATATTTGAGGAAACAATTAAAACTCTCAGGATGTTTGTCTTGTGGATTGAGGAATGACCATACCCTTCTGGGTCAGTGCAGCAGCCTGTGAACTTGTCTGTAACGCCAGGGTTCACCCACAGGTTGCTACCTGCATATCAGCTTCCCCAGGAAAAGAGGGACTGGAGGGCAGAGAGAAATCAGTGTGAAAGCCCAAAGGGTGCTCTGGAGCTGCTGGCACCAGTGCCAGTGTGGGTCAGAGCCACCGCCTCTGAGTGCCACTGCGGTGACACAGCTGTTCTCAGTACCAGGGTCTGGGGGTTCCTGCCAGAGACTCCATTGTCTCAGCATTTTGGTTTGCTTTGCTTTGTTTTGTGGTTTGGTTTTGGAGGTTATTTTCTTTGGCTTTGTTGTGTTTTGTTGTGTTTTGTTTTGTGCTCATCTTTTGCCTTTGCCTTTAGAGACACATTCAGGAAATACTAATAAGACAGAAAAAACGCAACTCCTGAGTTTTTCTGCTTAGGAGAATTCTCCAAAGGATTTCTAATTTGTGAGATGAGACAAAGGCTTCTCTGCACTGAGGAGCTGGATTTTACATCAGGTGATTCGGGAGAGCCTAGGCAAATGGGCTTCTCCTTTGTCTCCAAAATGGTTATGCTGCCTTGGAGGAAAAATCATAAATCTTTGTGGAGCAATAAATAGAATATAAATGGGTATCCAATATGCCACTGCTTTTAAGCTCAGAGTCACACTGTGCTGGTCAGGTTTGGGGTAGGAAGTAAAGACAGCCGCTTAGCAAATCTGGCAGGAATACAATAAAAATACCGTGAAAAATGACAAAAACTGATGAGTTTTCTATTCAAATCCATCACAAATCTCAGGAGTAAGTTTTTTGCATAAATATGTATTCATTTAAGGGAAGAAGGATAGAGGATAATCTGCACTTTTTGCTGCTGCTATCAAAAAATGCATTTGTTTTGCATGCATATTAATAGCAACATTGTTTTGTGGAGTAAAATAGCTGAAGTTTTGTACATGTAGTAGGTACATGCTGAAAACAAAATTATTTCTATTTCAGAAATAAAATAGCTTAATATCTTAGGTTCTTTAATAGTACTTAATTATTAGGCTTACTAAATTTGTAGTTTCATTTTTTATGCTTTTTACATCAAAACCAAAATTTTGCCACCATATTTAATTTCATAAATCAAATCATTTAAAAGTTCATAGATGTTTTATTACTCAGTATCATCTACCAAAAAAGTAATGATTTTTAAAAGACAAAAGCTTCATATTTACTTGGAATATGTTGAAATAGTAGATTTAGGGTTCCCTTAGATACTGGATGCATCCAGTTTCACCACCTATTTATTAGTGGTTAGCATTTGTCATCCATTCTCCCGCAGCAGCAAATGCGAGATTAGCATTTCTTGCTTGGCTCAGAATAGAAGCATTCTTCATGACACGGGTGTGCTAAGTGTTGGCAGGGAAGGATGGCTTTTTAAAGGCAATATTTAGTACATATATACGTGTATACGTATATACATATATGCAAAGGATATCTTGCTCTCTCAAATGATCTCAAGTCATTTGGCAAGAGAAAATGTACTTCTGTCTCATGGGTGTGTTGCCACTTTTGACATGGCTGAATAGTTGTGAATCAACAATGCATGTTAATACAGGAATAATAGATAAGGTTTTGTATGATAATTTTGTTACTTTAAAGGTTCTAGTTTCATACAATCATTATTTTAGATGGGGTGAAAATTAGCATACATGCCTTATGAAAACACATGCATATATATGAACACATATGTGTGAGGCTCTATATATACACACAAACATACAGATATGTATAGAGCTGTATCAGGTTTGTTTCCCCTCCTCACAGCTCTGGAGGCTGGACTGTAGAGTCAGACTGATAGAAATCTGAATTGGCCACGTTCAGCCATACCAAGGGCATCAGAGCAAATTCCAGGCCCGTGCAGCCACCATGTTCCTGGCATGCTTTATTTCTTGGGAGTGTACAGCTGGCCTTTAGACCTACATGAAGGAGAACTGAAAATAAATATAATCCTGAGATTTACACAACCTCCTTTTTTTCATGAGACTCTATTGTCATTCCACACTTTGCTGCTGTAACTGCATGGAGTTACAGGTATACTCCTTTCACAGACAGACATTAAAGCAGAGGACACTTAACTGAATTTGAGATAGAAATATATAGTGAAAATTATGACTGCTTACAGTTTTGGTTTAAATCTGATCGTCAACAGCTGACCCATAAACAGAGTAATCCAAAACTTGATATTGCACATGGGCATCTAGTAAGAGGTGCTGTCATTTGATTTAGCAGAAGCTAAACCTTCTGTAAAATCAATCAGTGGCTTTAACTGCTCTGTCTGCCTGGTGTTTGTATGATCTGTGATGCTGAGGTTGTTACTAGGGAAGCAGTATAAAGCTGGAGCTGCATGGAGTGGGAGCTGGAAGCCAAGAATTTATTCCTATAGTTCTCCCTCTTCATTGGTTTGCTGCCTGACCTTGGAGGGCATCCATATCATTGACTCTTGGCTTCTGCAGAGGCACTTTGCATAGGCAGGTGTTCACCAAAGTCTCTGCCAGCCACATCATAGGTATTCTGTTCCACCTCCCTGCCCAGTGGCTAAAGCAGACCTGCTGCCAGGCTGACTAAGAGGAGGAGCAGAGAGCTATGGCTGGCTGTCAGGGAGACCAGCTGTGTCCCACCTGACAGGGGTTTGAGTTAGAAGAGGGAAGCTGCAACCTCCCACAAAAAGAAGGCAGCACTGCTGAGCATTGCTGACCTGTGCAGTCATCTGCCAAACACAGCATGGACCTGCTGCAAGCACAAGCCTGTGACTCTTTGTGCTTGATGTAGTATCCCTATCAGATATTTCAAATTCTGTCAGAAAGATCTTGCAGCCTAAGTTACAGATTGGTGCACAGAAGCTTTTGCAAAATTCAGAGAATGGCTTGACTAGCAATTTTTATTTTGTATTGGTCTTGCTGGTTCATTTCCTGAATATGATGCAAGAAGTTCATCTTTAGGAAATCTTTGAGTTTGGAAGCAGCAGTGTCTGGCCTGACAGAGCACAGAGGGTAGGCTGTCTGTATAATGCCACAGGGAAGAAAGACCCTGGGATGTGGAGCTGTAACTGAGTGAGCTAACTGCATCTGCTTTCTGTAGCTGGTGGAGCACAGAGACAGTACAGTGGAAGTCCAGATTGAAGATGTAGGGAAAAAAATGTTGTAGTGTTTAACATTTCCTTCTTAAGGAAAAGATACATCTATAATAGTGTTTTGGAAATATTACAAGCTTTTATTTTTTTTGAAAAAAATATCTGTCTTGTCTCTGAATTTTGTTTGGTTTGTTCTCTCCATTGTCAGCCATCGCTCATGAATTTATCTTCTAGCTGAGATTCGATCAGCTCTTTCTCAAGGCTTTCTAACACTCTAAAGCAAAGCAAAGCAGAACAGAAACTGTTTCAATGGTGTTTTCTTGGGGGTCATTTTGTTTTCTTCCTGAAGAAATTCCTTTGCTCTAGAAGCTGGGCATACTCGGAATGTGGGCATGTGTTGTTGTGTCCATATTGCGTCTTCATTCAGATCAGGAGTGTCATATCAAAGAGGATGTAATAGACTGAGTGTTAAGGTGTTTGTTTTCTGAAAGAGGTATAAAAATTACAGTAAATGTGCAGCTGGAAACAGTGAGTTTAACATTGCTTTCAAAATTTTTATCTAACTTAAAATTTGAGAAGACCAGAATGACAAAAGGAGAGCAGAATAAAAGTGACAGAGGAGATGGAGTTTTGCCTCTGATTTCAGTGGAATTAGGAATTTACTCAGGAGCTGCTGAAGTAGGATGATGAAAGCATATTTGGGAAATCATAGCTAAAATGGTTGGTAAACTTAGAAGCTAATGTGATAATAAATTGCTTGTGGTTTGCCTCCTAAAGATGCCAGGACACAAACTGACCCAATGAAAAGGTAAACACAATCATGTTAGCCTTCAGAATACTGTTGAATTGAAACTATTTTCCCACTGGATTTATAGAATAATTTCCTGACAGACGCTGATGGTTATATTTTTTCTTTTTTTTTTAATTTATGCAAAAGTTCTTGTTGACATTAGAACCCCTAGTTTCAAGTATAAAGGCAGTTCTTAAGTAGATTTTTGCCCTTAATGATTGAGGTAATCTGTGCTTTTTGCTGGGATTTATGTTTTTGGTTTATTCAGGTTCTTTGCAAAAGTATTTGTGTCCCAGACAGATTTTATTACAACTAATAGGAAAAAAATATGTATTTAATGTCCCATATGGAAAAGATGCTCTAAGATCAGTGTTAGCAATGACCAGTGTTATACAAGCCACTGGGATAAAAATCTTTTCAAAGTGATGTGACACATCACACATAACAGGAGTTATTCTGAATCACCATTTCTCTGTTCTTAGCTCATCTGCCAAGAGTAGATTTTTACAAGAAGCAAACACATTTTGATAGTAAACAACACTTTCACTTTCTTTATTTTCTTTCTGTTCCTTTCCTTAAACTACCCACATGCTTCATGTGTATGTTATTTGGTTTCTTTTTTTCCAGAAGTAATATGTTCTTCTGCACAGTTCTGAAATCTGTTTTTCATATAAAGAGATTAGAAGCCCCTCCCTTCCTTATGATCTCCTGATGTGTTTGCTGTAGTTCCTATTGTAAATAGATTTGCTGTTATTGAGAATTCATGCTTAGGGGGTGGGTCAGAGAAATCAGACATAAACATGAAGGACTCAAGGTTTTAAGAGCTCTTTTTCTCTCCCCCAAGTGTTCTCTTATCCCTGTGAAAGACAAAGGGTGCGTCTAAATACCAGACTGCTTGGGGTTATTTTCACATGTTGTCTGTGCTGTTCACAGCATGCTATGCCGTTTTGGAGGATCTCGAGCCACTCTGACCTTATGGCCCTTCACCATGCCTTGGAACTGGAGTACTTGTAGCAGCTTAGCAGCACTTTCAAACCTCAGAGCCTCCTTCTGCCCGTGGATGAGATGCCTGTGTCTTGTGTCAGCATTGGACTACAGAACTCTGTGATTTCAACGTGTTGACGTACAGCTGCAATTGGTCTTAACCCTTGGCCTTTCAGTGAGGGGAGGAGCATGTTCTTTTCTTCAGAACAGCTGTTGGCTCTGGTACTGCGAGTCCAACGAAAATAAGCCATGCGAGTGTTTGAACAACTCATCTTTACCGTATTCGCTACCAAAAAGAAATAGAGAAGGAAAAAAACAAAGTGGGGGGAAAAAAAAGAAGAAGAAAAGAAAAGGAAAGGAAAAAGAGGTTCATACCTGTGAAGAAAAGAAAAAGGACCTGCAAATGCTTTGTAGTTTTTAGCCTCTTCAATGTGACACACACCATTTCTTCAACACAGCAAACTTGATTGCACAATGAAGACTGAGATTTTACAAAATACCAGTGGAGTAATTTTCTTATAAAGAAGGTTTACGTTTTGGTTTCTCATACCCAGGGTACTCTGTACATCTTTACTTATTTATGAACAGACTGTATTTTGACATCATATAACTGAGGATATGTATAATAGGATTAAAGGCTATTATAAGCCTTTGCCTTATGGTACAGCAACTACTTTTGATTTTAGCACATTACAGAGTAGTTTAAAATATGTCTAATTTAAACTAATAGGTACATCACTGAGACAATCATGTACAGGAAGAATTTTTTGTGTAAATTTGTAATAATGAATGATTCTTTTACATATTGTTAAGGTAAATGCTATTGAAAGATAGTAATGCCTTGTTGGTGAAGAATGAGGCCACGTGTGCACAAACTTGTGCAGTGCCTTATCAATGTGTTGGATATAAATATGTAGATAATGGATTTTTTTTAGATAAATTTGTCAAGACCAAAAGCATGGATGTCAAGTGTCAATAGGAATTGGGTTTTGTTCTCAGCTGTTTCTCTGCCATTTTCTTCTCTCACCCACTCTATGAAAAGATTGATTTTGTGTGTCCCCCCTGGTTGAAGCAAATACAGATAAAACCCAAGTGAAGAGGAGGCCTTTATTGTCTTTTTGTTTCCTCTTTTAAAGTTAACATATTAACTCTTTCTTAGAGTATTAAAAAATTGAGTAGGAGGTCATTCCATAAAGAAATAGAGAATGAACACAAATATATTTTAAGATGTAACTTAAACTGGAACCTTGGTACTGAATAGCTTTTTTCTCATCCAAAAATGAAGGAAACTATCATCACTAATATTTTTAGAAATTAGAAATGAGAATATTTTGGAAAAATTAAACAAGAATGCTCATATACATTTAAGTTTTTTAATCCTCTTCCACCAGGAGTCAGATTTTCCTAAGATATAACATCCATTGCCGGCAATGGAAATGCTGAAATGGTTATCACCAAGGAGTTAAAATTTGCTTTTGTCTGTACTAACTTAAAGGACAAACCTAGACTGTGTCTGTCTGTGACTTGTGACTTTTCTGATCTTGAAGGCTTTGAGCTACTTGGTTAAATAAACTGTTAGTCTGACTTTTTTTTGGCTTGAATTGTACCAATTCCCTTGGCCCAGTTAAATATCTTATTAAAAATAAGCCTTACCTTTGTTGCTAATTTTCTGGTTTTTCTTCTTTCATTTTTTTAAAAAAACCACCAGCCTCAAAACAGCTACCTGCAAAGCTACAGAGCACCAATGTAGCTACAAATCAACACCCTTCTCTATTGGAGGAATCACATTGCTGCTAGAATAAAATATTTGTGGATTGCCTTAGTACCAACAGAGAGGTTTTTATCTTACTAAGACTTGCACGTGTGCTTTACTTTACCCAGTATGAGTGCTGAAACTTGTGCAGCACTCACATGCGTGCATAAAGCACATTGTGGATAGTTTTTAGAATTGAGACTATCATTTTCTTTCCTCAAGCAAAGTAGACAGTGATGGGGGGATTGGTTGTCTTTTTTTTCTTTGGCTCTTTTCAATTTTTAGTCACTCGCGGACTGAAAAAAATAACAAAGTTTATCTGGGCCTTATTGTACAAAAAGTGTGTTGTGTCCACAATTGTGTACAGAATTTTTCTTCATTAATTTTGTTTTAAATTAATAAAATTGATTTGTGAACGTATTAAACAATTGTCTTGTATGCAAGTCTGTGGTATTTCTGCCCTCTGGGCTGGGAATGAGGAGACATCTCTCATCTCTTTGCTGTCTCAAGACACAGAAGTTGTTCACTTTCTGGTGCCCAGCTGAGATGTTAAATAGGTTAAAGAATACTTGCAACCAGTTTACAGCAGTTGTTTCACTTGTCAGCAGCAGCTTGAGATGGTCAGTGCAGAACAAGGCCTTGGTGTCCTGGAAATATCTCTGAGTTACTCACAGCAAATGCCTGAACTTCATGGTGCCTCTGTCATCCAAAGGAATCCATATGCTGAATGGATGAGTCTGCCATTCAGACGTCTCACTCAGGGCTACAAGTCCCATCCTCTGAGGTTTAACAGGCTTGAACATCTGGAAATTCAGGACTAGCATTTAACTTTACCAAGCATGGAGCAGACCTGCCCTTTAAATTGGGAAGAGTGCCAGTGACCACCATTTAATAGCAATTTTATAGTTTTGTTGTACGCACATGGTCTGGTGAAGATCCCTCTGCTTCTCTGCCCATCAGTGAGAGCCTTGGCTGCCAGCAGGTTATTCCTTACTCTCACTTGCTGGTCTAGTGAGACCTAACAAATGGAAGCAAATCCAAGGACCTACATACATCTCCATACTTGGCATCACCAGGGAAGTTGCATGCTCAGAGTTGAATTAAGTGTTTTCAGCACAGCAGCAATGATGCTGGAAATTAGTGTGATGAAGTAAGCACTTAAATGCCCCCTGAAGTCAGTGTCTTTCTTTCTGAGCAACTAAATACTCAGATTTTGATTTTTTTTTTTCTTTTAAGGAGCATCATATGAAAACCCTTTTTAAATCAAAATCTTGTAAGAAAGCAAGGGATCCTATAGAGTGAAGGAGGTAATGTAGGCAGCTCATAAACTTGGGGTCCACTTTTTGAAACATGTCGGTACTGCTTGAAGTTTCCATTCCTTAGATGCTCACTGATAAAAATGTTCAGCTGTAATGGTTTTTGTTCTAAGAATAACACACATGTAACTTTTAGGTAGTGCCAAGAAAGTGAAATTAAAAATAGTAATTATTATTATTTATGTCTCTCATGGCTGGAATGCATGCTCAGTGAGTGATACCTTTGTCTCAAAAATGCTTGCAATGCAAGCCAATAAAATATTGTTAGAAATTTTTTTTGCCTTTTCCTTCAGTTTTCTGCTTCTCTCAGTGTTGAATTCTGCCCTACATGAGTAGAGGATGGATATCAAGAGACCCGTTTCTTTGTGTCATATGACAAGGGAGAGGCACAGACCTTTCCCAGTCTTCCTGTCCTTTGTCAATGGCCACTTTTGCCATTCTCTGTTTAGCCAGGGACTGGCTCTACCAAAACTGTCCACCTCTGTTGTGCAGGCAAGGGGCTAGAAGGAAATGGGAAAATCCAGGGGAAAACAGTCATCTCCCAGGTTGGAAAAAACCACAAAGAAATGTGAGGATTACAAGGCTAAAACTGCAGAGAGGATCTGCATGTAACCAGGAAGGGTCACTGAGTAGAGCACCAGTACTCCTAGATGGGCCCCCAGCAGCTTCTCAGGATTATGCTCAGGAATTTGATGGGACAAGAGACCAGTGAGAGGTTCCACAGTCTCTTTGGCTACTCTATCCCACCAACTTCATGGATGGCACGTTGGCCACAGCATGGTGGACATAACTCAGTATGGGCCTCAGGATGGTGTAAATCAAGGGGGGCTGGTTACCATCCCTCTTCTGACTCCTCCTGAAACTCCTGCCCTGTCCCCATTACCTCTCTACAGCTGGCATGCACCATGTACCAGAAAAGACACAGCAAAGATGGAAATCTCTGGAGTACGTGCCCTGAATTCCCTCCACAACCTATTAACTGTGTGAATTTCTCTGTACTATACATGTGCATATATACACACACATACATATACATACATATAAATATATAGCTAGATACACAAATATAGATAGACATATTTGTTTCTGAGCTTTGTTATGACAGCAAAATTAAAATGGTATATCACTGAACCTGTTGCCTAAGTGACTTTATGCAAATGGTCCCTTACTCTTGTTCTCCAGCACAGCTATGGAAGATAAATAAAGATAAATAAACATTTGACTACTCAAATCATCCATCTTTGTAACTGTCAGCATTTCAGTATGTGTGAGTATAAATAAACTTCCACCAGTTCTGACACACCAGGGAAATTTTTTTTGGTTGTTTTTTACTAATATTCTATACTGCCATTTCTGCTTTTTAAGTGGCTGTTTGTTCCTGCTAATGGTAATAGAATAACAGCAGAAGAAAAATAAAATATTTGGATTTATCTAAAGCTAAATACAGATATGCCAGCTCTGTGGAAGCCACATGATGTTGCCAGCTGACGTGGAAGTCAGGCATAGGTGCAAGTATGCTATTAGCGATCTGCCCTTCCTGTCGCTTCGCCAGCGCTGGCAGTGTCTCTGCTGCGAAGAGGTATTTGTGGCTTGGGTTTTGTTTCTCACCCTCACTTAGAAATGTTTTGCATGGAGTGGTCTCTGCTGCTTCCTGAAGGGCTGGCCTTTGACACTGTGCTGTTTCCATTCTTATGCACAGGTGCATTGTTGTCTAAAGTGGGAGTTGAATCATTTGCGAAGGAAGCCCCAGCCTGCTTCATTTTATTCATTGCCAAGTCATGTCAAATTTGACATGGAAGTGCAGTGAGATCTAGATATCACATTAAGTTTAATATCTGAGACTGCAGTGATAGGTGGTATACTGCAGAGAAGGCAAAAAGTAGTTAGAAATAAAGACAAAACATAAATTGATTTGGAAAATGTAAGATAATAAATCTGGGAGAAAATAATGCAAAGCAAGGAGTGAGGAAGAATGCTGAGCTGTCTGAGAATGAGTTGTCTGAGAATGGAGAAAATTATGTTTGGGAAGGCAAATTAATTTTTTGGCTCTGCCACAGAACACCCCAGGAGCTGTTAGGACTCAGGCTCAGCAAAGCTAAATGTCACTGTGCTGGCCACCTGCAGGACATCCAGGGCTTCAGGTGGTCATGCATGCTCTCCATGGAGAGAACTGGGAGCCTCAGTGAGGAGCTGTTGAAGCCAGCTACTGGCACCAGAACTGTGCACAAAATCCTGACCTTATCAGGAACTTGGGCACCACATCTTGCCCCCTAAGTGGTGGCTGGAATTCTTTCCTGTGCAGGACCAGGGGCTGCCCATGCTGAGGAACATGGCAGGAGCTGTCCATGTCCTTTGCAGCTGTCACTGTTTACCCTCTGCAGAAGCTTAGTGATTACTCACCACTTGCACAGGATACAGGTGACTTTAGACCAGGTCTGTTTTCAACCCTGTCCAGAACTATGTGGGAACTGCATGCTGTTAATATTCTCAGAGAGCTGGAGGAGTTCCGTGGGAGCAAAAGAAAGGAGAAGTGCAAATGTGCAGGCTCTCAGTGAAGCACACAAGGATGTTGTTTGCAGAGCAAAACCACTTTGCCTCTCTGTAGCTGCTTAATGCAAAGTACAGAAAGTTCTGGGAACTGGCACATAAATCAGGGCTCCTGTCTCTGAGGCATGTGCTCACACCACCAAATCCAGTGCTGCCCTTAGGTCCTCTCAGAAAAATCCACTGGATGGACTGAATGCCTCCTCTTATGGTTTCCTTCCTCTTATGGTTTCAGTCCAGCACGCCACTAAGCCCCATGCAGACACTCACTCACTCCCCTCACGCTTGAATGGGGGAGAGAATTGGAAGAGTGAAAGTGAGGAGACTCATTGATTGAGATGAAGACAGTTTGATAGCTAAAGCCAAGGCTGTGCACACAAACAAAGCAGAACAAGGTCTTAATTCACTATTTCATTGGCAGGTAGGTGTTCAACCATCCCAGCTGAAAGCAGGGCTCCATCACACATAATGGTGACTTGACAGAACACCATTGCTCCAAATATCCCCCCTCTTCCTTCTTCATTCCCCATCTTTGTATGCTGAGCATGATGCCATATGGTGGGAAATATCCCTTTGGTCAGTTGTGGTCAGCTGTCCCAGCAGTGTCCCCTCCCAGCTCCTTGCATACCCCCAGCTGCTCACTGCTGGAGTGAGGCACAGAAAAGGCCTTGACTCTGTGCAAGCACTGCTTAGCAGTAACTAAAACATCCCTGAATTGCTAACACTGTTTTCAGCCTAAATCCAAAACACAGTCTCATACAAGCTACTGTGAAGAAAATTAACTCTATCCCAGCCAAAACCAGCAAAACACCTCTCCAGAGTAAACAAGTGCAGTTCTCAGTACCAAGACAAGCAACTGAATAGAAACAAAACCATTCCCCTTTACCTCAAGAAATGCTATAATTCCAGAAGGGATTATTAACTTTGCATTAAATTCATGTTCCAGCTCCTAAATCTATCTGTGCAGTCATTATTTATATGTGACTCACTTAAAATTCAGTAGAGCATCTGTATCATAGATATCAGAGGTCTACTTACATGCCATTTGGTATTTGTCACTAATCTGGGGTCACAGGGGGTCTGCCCAGTAATATTTCCACTACACAGCAGGTAAATCCTCTCAGACTGCTCCTTATACCTTCTTATAAAATGAGAGTTTGAAATTCAATTTAAACCATACAAGTTTATACCTAGTAAGAGCCTTCCTGTAGCCCTTTTGTTTTAAGACAGAAAGTTTTTAAAGGGGAGTAGGAACAAAAAACCACCCCTAAACTATGTACTTAGTTCTCTAGAAGACAAGGAAAACTCAGCAAAATAAAATTAGGAAGGTTGCAATATCCCTTTTAAACAACAGTTATGTTGGGGGGGAAAGTCAGGTCTTGTGAATATTTGCATTCTTTTTGATATTTCTATAGTCCAGCTGTAATGCACTGTTCTGTAAGATTTTTTTTGTCCAGAATTTCTCAAATACTTCCTCTTATGCCACCTGATTCATCTTTCCATTGCTCCAGCATCTGTGTGAACCAGCAGATCTAAAGATTCTGCTGATTGTTCTTGGGCATTTC